GAGAAATAAACTCAGAATTGTGAGATTGAGAAAAGTCAGAATTGCGAGAAATAAACTTGAAATTATAAAAAAAGTCAGAATTGCGAGAAATAAACTCAGAATTGTGAGATTGAGAAAAGTCAGAATTGTGTGAAATAAACTTGAAATTATAAAAAAGTCAGAATTGTGCGAAATAAACTCAGAATTGTGAGATTGAGAAAAGTCAGAATTGCGAGATACAGTATAAACTCAGAATTGCAAGACTGAGAAAAAAAGTCAGAAGTGCGAGATATAAACGGAACAGAATTCTGAATTTTTTCTCGCAATTCTGAGTTTACATCTCAAAATTTCTTTTTTTTTGTTTGTGTTGGCCACGAAATAAACTTTTTTTTAATCTCACAATTCTGTCTTTTTTCAGAATTCTGAGTTTATATCTTGCAATTCTATCTCGCAATTCCACAAGAATTAGAGAATATAAAAAGTTGCAGTTACCTCTTTAATTTTTTTATCCTGTGGCACAGAAATAACACACCTTTAAAGTAGGGCTGCACGATAAATCGCATGCGATATTTAAGATTTATCGTGCAGCCCTACTTTAAAGACACATAAGAGTGCAGAGTGTGTTTGCGCTCATTATTTCTGGTGTAGCGTGTGTGTGTGTGTGTATTTTCCTGAGGGTCAAAAGTGTGTGTTATGACACTGTGCTATCTGATGCAGAGCTTCTCGTTGGTACGGACACACACAAGCGGTGCTGCTCACTTCCCGCCACTGGAGAGGCTGATGAGACGACAGCGAGCTCTCGACCTGCAGCAAAAACAAAGACAGCTTGAATTACTCTGCAAACCCAACGAGAGCTAAAATACTGCCGCTTAATTCACTAAATAAAAACCACTTATGGAGTGCTGAGAATATGACTGCACAGAGCCATAAAACTGAATGTGCGTATGATGTTTTATGTCTATTGAGACGGCATCCAACTGGGATCCACATCGTGTAGACAGTTTTCAGAATCACCCTCCTCAGGGAGTATTATGAGCTCCCAGCACATGAGTGGAGCACTATTCCACAATTCAGACAAAGCATCTGTTACCATAAACTTATTTTATACACATGTATATATATTAATTAATAAAACTAAATATTACACACACAGTGTGCAAAATGGACACAAATATTTCTTACCAGCCATACAATCTATCTATCTATCTATCTATCTATCTATCTATCTATCTATCGTTCTATC